ATGTTCTAGTCATGTCTTTGGTTAATCTAGCACAGTTCTCCCAAAGAACTGTGGGCCAGAGAAGGACAAGGATGGTATCATGGCTCAGACTGACTGTCAGCTTGGGCAGTAGCAGTGCTGCTGCTTTTGTGCTTAAGAAAGAGATTTATGAAGAGCACCAGACATTGCCTTCCATATCCATGCCATGCAGCCCCATTATACACAAAGAAAGGTTTACCTTCAGCCCCCATTCACAGGAAATCTGTCATGTGTAACAGATGCTTACATGGCTGAGTGCATGTACTGCAAGAAGGTACTCAAGTATGGGCAGGACTTTGCCTTTCCAGGAGTAGTATGCTCAGCTACTTAAGATTCAGCACAGACATTGCTGCTGGCAGATGAAGTGGATACTGTACTAGGAAGGCAAATGACTTCCTCATGATGAAGGGTAAGAGCCATCGGAGGTCAGAGATTGGGCTACCAACCGAGGGAAACAGGGAGCTAGATGGGTAAATAACAAGAGGTGGGAGGCAGCAAATGCCAGCCCCACATCTCAAGAATATGTCCCGGGCTACCATAAAGGAGCTTGAAGGGATGCAGGAAAAGACCTTTTGCAAACAAACACATGCCAGGTTTACTCATTGCCGTGAGAAGATGACAGCCCTGGATGACCAGCCATGCTCTCTGGTGTATGACACTCATTTCTATAGGTTTCTGGCAGAACTGGCACTCTGTTACTAATTTCCATCTGAAATGACAATAACATCTACCGTCTTCTGCTTCTCTGAGCAATATACTTAAATAGGTATTCTGAATTTTGAACATTTTCTGAAGATAACAAGTGAATGTGAACCAATGTGTTACTTTTATTATTTATGTAGTTAGTTTAAAAATTTTATCCCACCTTTCTCCTTAGAAAGGACATAAAGAAGCTTACATCATTAAAAAGACAATGCAGTGGTGCCTCACAAGACGAATTTAATTGGTTCCGCGGTCAATGCCGTCTTGTGAAAAAATCTTGCGAGGCGCGTTTTCCCATAGGAATGCATTGAAATCTAATTAATGCATTCCTGTGGGAAATTTTTTTAAAAAGTCACTTACCAGGTAGGGAGCTGGGGAAG